CGAACAAGCCTAAACACCTCGAATTGATCTAAATTTGGTACACAAGTCATAAATGACATAACGGACCTACTATAACTTTTGAAATCAAAATACGACCCCGATATCAATAAATTCAAACCTCGGTCAAACCTATGAACATTTCCAAACCTTCAAATTTCCAACTTTCGCCAATTAGTGCCGAAACCTTCTAGAATTATCCAAATGCAAATCTAGGCATACGCCCCAGTCCAAAATTACTATCTGGACCTAACAGAATCATCAAAACTCTGATCCGAGGTTGAATACTAAAAAGTCAAACTTGGTCAACTCTTCCAACTTAAAGCTTCAACTATGAAATTCATTCTTCCAAATTAATTCCGAAACACCTGAAAACCAACGCCGGCAATTCACACACGTCATAATACATCATATTAAGCTACTCAAGACTTCAAATAGCTGAACAAAATGCAAATTCTCAAAATAACCGGTCGTGTCGTTATAGAATCCGGCACCCGGGAGTTGGTGTTCTTCTTGGGCTTACAAGCCCGAGAAGCCGCCCTCTTTTTTGGCATCACTCGGGACCCGAGGAGCAAGAAGACTCTCTTTTCCTCTCTTTTTTCTCCCGCGTGGAAGCCTCGGGCTGTCCCGTAATGGAGGGATCAACGGGTAAGGGCGCACCCTCGTCCCCTTCCAGCGGCCTAAGTTCGGTGGTCTTAGGCAAACCTTCGAAGAAAAAAGAAAAAGTCAGTGTTACGTAAGTTTGGAGGCGTAATAGTAAACTATTTTGTGATGAGGCTCGGCCCTTCGAAAGCTTGTGCCACAAGCACTCGAAGTATGATATCTGCTTGCAGATGCCTTCGATCCAATCCTTGAGCCGGGGGGACCGCATTGGAACCTGAGCAATAGCTGCACGACCACAAATATTGATGGTGAGAAAGGAAACAAAGGAGACTTGACACTTAAGGAAGGGCTACACTTACGAGATGCATTTCACTTCTCAGGAAATGGCAAGAACTAGGGAGGGGTCAAATCTTCAATTTTCACCAGAACAAAGCGCCCCTGCCAGCCTTGGTCTTGAACCTCGTCGATGCTCTAAAAGGGAGCCTTGCTGGCCCGGCAAGTGAGCTTGAATAGCCCCTCTCAAAAAATTCGGGGACTATACAGACTGAGTAGGTAGTCGAGGGTGAATCGAGGAGATTCGGTGTTGTTCACAAAAAAGCGTAGGAGGATCACGATCCTCCAAAGAGACGGGTGAATTTGCCCAAGGCACACCTTGTATCTCTTGTAAAAGGCCAAAACTACTGGGTTTATTGGGCCCAACATGGAGGGTTAAGTGTAAAAACTTAAATATCCCTCCACATGAGTAGTAGTATCGTCCTCAGGCTCGGGGACTACCACGTCCTTACCTCCTCATTTGCAGTCCTCTCGGACTATGGGAAGGGTATCTTCCGTAAGGGAGCATATATATCTCGATTCCCCTTCACCTCGGTTTTGTTTGGATGAGGACTTCTCGACTTTGAAGTCGTCTACGATTGAACAGCCCCCGGGAATGAAGCTTTTCATGGGGGGCTCTGGGGCCACTTCGGTAGCACCCACTTCGGGAGCAACCACCTCAGGAGCAGTCGTCTCGAGAGCAACCACCTCGAGAATGGCCGCCTCGGTACTTGTGGACGGGTTGGAAGATGAAGAGACAGCCTGCTGAGGAACTAATTTGGAAGTCTTAGCCTTTGTGATCTGGAAAATAAGAAGATTTGAAGGGAAAATATGAAGATTTGAAGGAAAGATATGGAGGTTTGAAGGGAAGTAATGAAGGTTTGAAGGAAAAAGTATGAATGTTTAAAGGTAGGATGAAGATCTGGATAGAAACCTAAGAAAAATTATGAAGATTTGAAGATCAAAGGTAAAAGGATGAAGATTTGAAAGAGTTGATAGCCGCTAGAGAGTTCGAAGATAAAAGTTAGGATCGGAAAGTGGAAGAAGTACAAAAGGTCGAAGTTTTTATAGGAGAAAATATAATCAATACGCGACGTTTCACATTCGGAGGCGACTAGCCGATGATTGACACATGTTCGAAGTTAAAACGACACGACTGATGGGATATTTCAGCTTATTCGTCATCTCGGTTGTAACGTATGAAGGAAGGAACCGAGGCTCATCTATCGTTTCCCATCATTTCGGCCAACCAATTCTCCAATAAACGAGGGGACTATCTGTATACGGGTAAACTCGGGGTCAACATATACCCCGAGTTCTCGGTGAGTCAAATGAAGTAAGAAGTATGAATGTATGAGATAGAGACTGAATCTGAGAACTCTTTGAATCGAGGTTGGAACAGGGTGCTTGCCACCGGGCCTGGCAAGACAATATCTCCCCCCAAGCCTGGAACAAGCTCCAAGACCCCGGAAACCTCTACAAACGGTTGCACACGACTAACAGAGGGTTGTGATATCCGCGCCCAACCGGATATCATAGTGTGGATCTCGCCCGATATCAGTAGCGTATCAATGATTGGTGTACAAGGAGGATTTTTACCTTTTTAGAATTGTACTAAGGGTAAAATTCCCCTACTATATAAAGGAAAAGTTTTATATTCAATAGACACATTGTAACATACATATTAATGAGTGGTGACTTTACCACTTATCTTAGTCTCTTTTCCTTAGTTTTTGTGACCTTTAATTATAAAATGAGGTGATTTATGGTGTGCATTGCTAGATTTTCAGATAAATGAGTCTCGAAGAGAAATAAAATTAAATGAAGTGGATTCGTGCAAAAAGAGTGAAAGAAGTACAAAAATCTCCAGTGCAATCGCATCTACGCAAAACCATCGGCATCTGCGGTCTCGCATCTGCGAGAAATGGTCCGCATCTGCGAAATACGACTTGCAAGACAGAAATCACTTCTACGACCACTAATCCGCTGATGCGGAACTGCTTCTGCGGTTGAGGTCTGCATTTGCGAAACCGCTTCTGCGACGACATATCCGCTTCTGCGGAATAGTTATTTTCACCAAATACCGCATCTGCGTGCATAAATTCCGCATCTGCGGAGCTGCACCTGCAATGATTCTTCCGCAGGTGCGGCCAACGGGCTTCAGCTCTGGACAGATTTGGCAATTCATATTTTTCCTATCCCAAACCCACAAATACACGACCTAACTTATTGAAAATACATCTTGTGGCTTATTTTCAGTTTTTTGACTAGAGAACACAAGTTTTGGAGCTAGGGTTCTTGTACACATATTGGGTCTTGAAATTTTTAAGCTTTTGGTTGAGAAATATTTTCCCATTTATGTTCATTTCTTCATTTCCTTGCTTTGTATTGTATATCTAAGTATGTAGTATTTTTTTCAACACTTGAATCTTGTTTATGCGAAGTATGGATTAAATATCTTGTTGTGCTTATGTATTGAATAATTTTTATTTATTATAAAGTGAGTTATTATTTCTTTAATTATTCTTGTTCTTTAATGTTTCCAAAGGGATTAGCTAACCCTAGGACTCGCCCATTTACTTTGAATTAATTTTGAAAAAATAATTTGGGGTTGGGAAAGATTAATTAATAAGAACTTGAGGCGTTAACCCTCACTTTATAGATTCTACCTAGGGATAGGATTGAACTACTTGTAGCCATATTCGGGTGTGCTTAATCTCTTAATTATTTTAGGGATAATTTAATTAGGAAGTCTTGTTAGTCTTCGGAAGAAGCTAATATAGAATTATTACCTGAGGCTAATTAACATAAACTCACTCATATTTGTAAAATCGTAAAATACACGGGATCGTTACTTGAGTGTAATTCCCAATGCATCCATGCTTGTAGCCATTGATCATTTTACTTGCTTTTTAGGTTAGTTTATATTTTTTGCATTTAGACATAAATATTTTCTCAAAACCCTTTTTAGTGTTTGGCTTAGCATAATAAGTGATAACTCTCTTACACGCCTAATCGCCTACATATTATTCTCTGTGGGATTCGACCCCGACTCATAGTTGGGTAAATTATATTGCATGGACCGTGTCCATTTACTTTTTAATAGTGAATTTGGACGTCATCACATATCAAGGCAATACAAACTTATTTCTCTGTTTTTTAGCTATTGAAAGGTTCTTATTTTAATTATAGTTCTCCATACACATTTGGCTTCGAATCGAGGGTCCAGTCAAGGGCAACACTACTGTTAAGCTTAAATCCGATCCTGGACACAACGTCACAACACTATTGTTAAGTGAATCAATCCACATATTCTTAAAACTGTGTACAAATTTAATTGTTATCCGTTTTAAGAGTAAACAATGTTGCTTCTTCATGTGCTAATGCAACGTCCCTTATCTACGAATTCTAAATTCGTTGCTATTGCAACAACATATTTTTTGTGACAAAAACTATTTGTGTCCAAAGTTTAACTAATTCTAAGACAAATAATGGTTCGTCACTAATTGAGTACATTATTAGCGACAAAATAATTTGTCATCGATAACTTCAAATTTGTGGCTAATATTTCTCTATAAATGACGCCAGCTCATTTTTTGGTGAGAAACTTTACTGGACAACTTTGCTACGAAATTTTTAGTTTCGTCACAAAAAGTATGTGATTCATGTATTTAAAGATGAATTAAATTTTTATCACGACTTAGAACGAATTTTATACCGTAGTTAAATTTAACATTTATTGTAGTGACAGCCCAACAAGATATCACTGAACCACGAAAAATTCTAAACACCACTAAACTCAAGTAGGTGCGCCATGATCTGTTCATGTATTTTGTACTAACAACTTTGGCATGCAAAGACAAATTAGAAGTACTTGTTGCCTTTCTTGTCTCTAGTTAGTTAATTTTCAATCATTTGTTATATTGTGTCGTCTTTCTACGTAAGATGCACCTTTGCCCATATCTGCATTCCAAGTTTCCAACTCGCGCAGCTTTGATTTCAAGCTGTTTCGTAGTACTCTTTTTTGTATTGTTTAGGTAGTTGATGAGACTAATATTTGTGAGGGACAAAACTAGCCTTTTTACTTGTAGACAAAAAAAACATTGCTTGAATTAAAGGGCTCATACAAATAGTACTATGGCGATATATGCGATATATCTTATTCTAAAGCAAAGAAATTGGCCGTGCACATGGACTTCAATTTCAAAGACAGTGAATTCCTTTCTATACTACATCAAACATACATTGAGGATACATTATTAGCTAATTATCTCACAATCCGAACTTCCTAATTCACCAACCTACAGTTCTTTCTGATCTCTCCATCTTGTCCTGTTAACACACCTAAGTTGGTCAACTTCACCATAGATGCTGCAAACGCTTTGGAAAATAGATATGGATACTTGCTGTAAGTTGACACCATTGAAGCAGTATTATTATCATTCATTAAAGCTTGGTCTGACTGAAGAAGCCCAGAATTGTTCATCAGATTCTTGAAATATACATTATCAAACTTGTTGATTGTAACTGCATCTAAAGGGGCCAAGTTGGAATCTGAATCACTTTGGTTGGGACATACGCTTCGCAGATTGCCTAGTAATGATGAATCCAGTGTCGGGTCAGGATTTCCAGATCCATCAAAATCAAATAGCCTTTGCTTGAAGGTGAAACATTGAGCAAATCCAATGGTGTGAGCACCTGCATCAAATCATGCATGGATGATCAACTATGCAAACGACTAATTAATTTTTGTTGAGAACCAATTTCCCAATTTATCACATGTCATAACGGAATTTTGAAATTTGACATTTCTATCATTTGTATTTTTCGAGCAATTCATTCATAGTGCAAATACTTTAATTTGACGAAGAATTGTTTTCTGACGAACTGTTCTAAATGTGTAAAGTTCAAAACTTTAGTATGAAAAAAATAGTTTTATGATTTTACTATTATAATAAATATTATTAAGTGATCACAAGTGAAATTAACCCGAAGGGATGTTTTATTAGGATTTTAGTCGATCTATAAAAGGAAAAGTTGCATCTTGGCATAGGTTTAGTACCTGATAGCACCACAACATCTTTTACGTCAAGACCCTTTGAAACAAATTTTGCAGTAATGTTTTCTAAGGGCTCGAAAGGTGATGGAATCTGAGCATTAGCTGCACTTTGACTTGCGGTAAGACTATCTCGACGACCCAACGACACTGACCAATATGGGCCTCCAGTCTGAAAACATTCGTTTAAATTAAACAAGAAGATCAATTTTTAGTAGTATATAACAATTTGACAAAAGTATGTTTAGGCAATGAATATTGATCATGAATCTGAAAGCCTTTTGATAAGAAAAATCTTACGAGATAGATAGCTTCTCTAGCTGCTAGAGTCAGTATATCAGCGCATGAAACTGTAGACGGGCAAGCTTTCTCCACGTTAGCTTTTATTGTATCAATGACTTCAAATCCTCTGGCTGAGTTTCGATTAGCAGATGCATTCTTCTCTCCTGTGAATGTACTAGTATCGTCGAGTAGTACAGACCCGTCGCATCCCTAGACAACATAAACATTTTTAAAAGAAGTAAGCAATCAGATCACTGGCATTAGCTATGTACTTAGGTTAGTGCATAAAATTAGAAACGAGTTCATATTTTACATTAACAAAACAGTCATGGAAGTGCAAGCGCAAAAGAGAGGCAGCCATTCTGGTTTCATTAGAAATAGCAGACCAGATGCCATATCTAACGATTTTAGTGAGGTTGGGACAGGTGGCGTCGTAATATTTGTAATCAAGTTGCCCATACACAAAAGAACTGAGAAAGATGAAGCAAATCAAAGAGTTAGTTAAAGGCATATGGCTTTTCGTGTTCATGATTGCAGATGCAGTAAATAGTAAGTAGTACTTTTTTTTTCACTATAAGTCTATAACATCGGGAGTTAGTAGGAGCCGCTATTTATAAGCAAACAAAATCTCATGCTCAGTAAAGAGTACAGAATGGCAGGGCCACTAAGAATTAATTAACATGTCTGTTTCAGTTAAGTTTGGTGTTAATCCATCATTCGTTAAAAAGTTATCAGCTGCTCTATACTAAAATAAAGTAGTACATATGCCTTTTGAAACTCAGCAAACTGAAGATAAAAAATAATGCCCAAGTTGACTTACCCTACTTCTGCATGGAAACAGGAATCAGAGCTGTATTTGCACTATTTTTTGTTAATTTCCTACTCCCTCCGGTCCTTTTTATTTGCCGTTTAATATTTTGACATACCATTAAGAAAATCATTTAGTTAGCATTAATCATAGAGGTATCGACTAAATTATCCTCCACTCTTTCTTAAATTAATGACCCTTGTAGTAATAAGGCTGGAATTAGAAAAGATAATTGATGTCTTCTTCGTTTTTTAAAGGTGACAAATATTTTGGACCAATTTGTATTGATAAAGTGACATATAAAAAAGGATCGGAAGGTAAACTCTGCAATGGAGATTTTAAATTAAGCTTATTCTGTTCGTAAACTAAAAGTAGAAACTGAAAGTACCAGCATAAGTGCCTATCTGAGAGGACTTCAATAAATTTCTTTCGCTTGAAAAGAAACAAAAACAAAAAGATGGGAGAAGAAACTAAAAGGGCAAAAAATCAAACGTGTTAATAAATTACTTGTGTACATTATAGAATTCGTAGCAGCCCTTGCACTAAGCTAGCTAGTGGAAGGAGTGACGGATGCCAGCAATAAGGAGGTGTTAGTGCCCAAGTGATCAACTATTGCACAATCTACACTACTTTAATTTACTGGGAGTCGAATTGTATAAAACTAGTATATTTCCCTAGACTACTTCTGTCCAGATTCTTGGTATTATCCATTTTAACTCAACTTGGATCATTTATGCATAAATTAATTGGTGTTGCATGACATGTATTGCACTATGAGAAATAACAAGCTAAGCATATATATTGTATACTGATAACAAGGAAGAAAGAGTACTGCATCATATTGCTGTCATGTATACTGATATCGACTTTTTATACCAAAAAAAAAGGATAAAGAAAAAAGGCAAGTTTTGACCTCACCGGTTTTGGTTTTGATGATTGATAATGGAATACATGCATGAACCAGGTCCATGGATAGTGTACACAAGTCGCGGTCAGATTTAAATACAAGGCATGTACGTGAAGGGGATAAGTGTTGTTTACTTTTAAAAACGGATAACAATTGAATTTATACGCGATTTTAAGGATATGTGGGTTAATTCAATACAAGTGATCAATGACATTAGATTAAGCAAATAAAAGACGTAATAAATGGCCAAACCAATGATAAGGGTGATCCCGAGCTCGGTTAATCCCGGGCCCGAGGACGCCGTTACTATCCACATTGAGGGGCACTTAAGTGTTTACACTTATCCCTTCACAGTCGTTGCGGAGGATCGTGATCCTTCTCCTCTACTTCGTGAACAAGACTGAGTCTCGTCGGTTCACGATCGACCACCTGCTCCGGTTATACAGTCTTCGAATGTTCCGAGGGGGATTAATCAAGCTTACTCGCAGGGCCAACAAGGCCCTTTTTTTGAGTATCGACGAAGAACGAGACCGGGGCAGGCAGGGACACTTTGTCCGAGTGAAAACCGAAGATTTGATCCCTCCCGAATACATGCCATTCCCTGAGAAGTGGAATGCATCTCGTAAGTTCAATCTCCCGTTAAACATCAAAATTCCTTTTCTTCAATGTCTTTCTTCTCATTCATATTTGTGGTTGTGCAGTCGTCACCTGGGTTTCGAATGCAGTACCCCAGCTAAAGGAATGGATCAAGGGCATCTGTACTCAAATGTCGTACTTTGAGCGCACATGGCGCAGACTCTCGAAGGGCCGACGGGAGGCCTGTTCTCATGGTAAGGCCTCTTTCTGAATAGCCAATACCACGTTTCTACCTTTTATTACACTAAATCTTGTTCCCTTTTTGTTATTGCAGGTTTGCCTAAGAACACTGAACTTAGGCCTTAGGAAGGGGACGAGGATGTGCCCACATCCATTGATCCCTCCATTACTGCCGCAGAGGGAAAGATGAAAAGGAATATAAAAAATTTGGGCTCCCCGGGTTGCGATGTAAAAAAACCAAAGAAATGGGTGCGCCGCAAGCCTAAGAGGGACTCTAGTTCCCGGGCGCCAGATTCTGACTCTCTTATCCGGCTTAGGGATGAGCCATAGGATGAACCTATTTTTGTTACCCATGGGACGACTTATCCCGGGGATTCGGAGGCATCCTGGGGGAGACTCGTGAGATCAACCCACCTCCAACTCAAAAGACCGACGTGGATACCCGGGGTGAAACTCCCCAGGATGCTGGATCTACTCCAAAGGAAGCGCCCTGTGTAATTGAGATCTCGGGGATACCCTCCTACACTGAGTCCATGCTCGAGGAGTCCCAAGCGACAAAGGAGAAGTCCAATGAGGAGGTCCATGGTGTGGACGATCCCCTTCACTTCTTTTTTGACGGTGTGGACTCATCTGCTTTGGAAAACTTCTACGGGCTGGGTGACCTGGAATTTCCAAAGAAGGACACATCCTCGAAATATGGCGGGCCGAGCTCGAGCCCGAAGTTGATCAATCAGTTCCCTGCTTCGAGTGTGGACCCCGGTCGTAAGAGATCAATTATACTGACCGTCCTGGAGGATGCCTGGTTTTTGTCTGCTCCTGTGGGGGTAGCTAGCTACCTCTGATGCCTAGTTACCGAGGAGGATCATGAAAAGGTAAATGAGGTGAACGTGCTATTCCTTTTCAATGAGGCGCAGCTGGCGCTGAACCGGGTAACGCATCGTTTCTTTCCATCGATCTATTGTTATATGTGTTTGATGTTTCTCACGTTTTTCGCCCTTTTGGAGGCCTCAGTACTTTACCACGAGAGTTTCCTTCGGTATCGAGTTAAGGTCAATCAACACGATCTCGAGATCAAGGAGCTTGCCCAAAAAAGAGACTGTACAAGTTTCTTAGCGAGCAGCAAGAGGGGGTTGCCAAGAACCTTCAGGCCGAGCTGGATGCAACTCATAAAGAGGCATCAGCCTTAAGGCAGGAGCACGCCGACTTGGTGGAAAAGGTAAAGGTTTTTGAAGTTAGAAACGAGGGTCCAGTTGTAGAGGCTAAAAACAATACTTCGCAGGTCCAGCAGAAGATCGACCAACTCCGCAATGAGATGGACGAGATCCAAGTAATAGTCAACGGGTGGAAAAGCAAGATGTACTTGTTGGCCTCGGAGAAGGAGACCACCCATGCCAAGTTGTCTTCGGCGGAAGTTCAGCTTCGGGTGGGGAAGGAGAAGGCTGATACACGAGCTTAGAAAAATGAGGATCTCTAAGCACAACTGGGCTCGGCCATCGCTGAACGGGATGCCCTTGGTAAGGAGCTCAAAATAACGAGGTCGAGGTTGGAGATAATCTCGGCCGATGTTGACGAGATGGTGACCCAATACAAGGCCGATGTTGAAGCAGCCGAGTCCCAGCTTAAGACCATTACTGAGTACGTGAGGTGTCTATCCCTAAGGGAGAGCCTCGAAGAAATCTATGCTCGAGGCTTCGACCTATCTACCGAGATCGAGGAGGCAAAACGACTTGAGGTCGAGGCCAAGAAGCTAGCTGGACCCCAAGGTGAAGAGGGCTACGAGGGCTCTGAAGAATCCGAAGGCCCCGACGGTTCTGGTGACGAGTCGGGCTCCGGTGAATATCAGGCGTAAATGCCTTTGAACTTTTTTTGTTTTTGTATCCTGTAAAGATATTCCGGAATATATAAATTGTTTCCCATTTGGCAATTTTAAAGTCTATTATCTTATCACCTTTTTACAATTGCGAATATTTCTAATGCCTTAGCATAGAATCAAATATAGTAATAAGTCGATTTTTGGAGGTCCGAACAAAACTTGTCCTGGATGCAATTTTTGTTCGAAACTTGTGAAAACTCAGAATGACCGGTGATGTTTTAACTTCAATACCACACAAGAGGGGGGTGATTTGTGTGGTGTCTAATGTTTTGCTTAAACTGATTATGGAAGGACATGGTTCTTCTAAGTGTTACTTAACCTACTATTGCTGAAATAGTAAATGCGGAAAGTAAAGAACACAAGTATTTTACGTGAAAAACACCTGGCTCAAAAGGTAAAAAACCACGACCTACTTCTTAGTAGAATTTTCCCAAACTCTCCACTAAATCATTGAGCCAAAAACTGCATTTACAAAACACTTTTGTAAACCTAGGATTAACTCTAATCCCATTGTGGCAACCAGCCTCTAACTGCTGCGACAACTTCAAGTTAACTCTAACTTGAATACTCTAAGTACCTATTACAATTGCCTCTAGATAAAGCTGAAAGGTACAATATGAAAACACCTACTACAATTGAACTATAATAAAAGACAGACACTTGGAACTAGTTCTTCTATCTGGTTCATGTGGTTTCAGGTTTGCACACTTGAATCACACACGAATTGCATGAAAAATGCCTTGCTATTTTGCTCTCAATTCATGTTTAACTTCTGTTTTTGTGTGTCCCTGTAGAATGAGAACATCCTACAATATAGAGAGTTAGTAGATGAAGAAATAACTAGAGTTCTAATACGACTCTTCCTTGGTGGAAGAGTTCTAATTGATCTCAACTTCTAACTCCTCCCTTATCTTGGATAGTGTTCTCTTTGAGTAAGGAGTCCTCCTTATCAATTATGCAACCTTTTCGATCAGGAGATATCAGTTATATCAAGTTAAGCTTATCTCCTTCACATGAATCCCACATGCTCAAATCTGCTCTTGTCTATGTATACAAGGGATGGACATGGTTCATGCATGAGCTTCCTTTGTCAATCTTCAAAACTAACCTTCACTTGGGCCAACAAATTCCCCCCTTTTGATGATAACAAACCCTATGTTTTTCATAAGCTTAGGCCCTGTT